TCTTCATTCTACTACTTTAATTCGAATCAAAATGATTATAGGCATACATAAATCAAACTAAATAATAAAATAAAATAAAATATTAAACCAAAATATATGACATCAAACGCACAAGATGATGAATGTTGGGCTAATCAGAACCAAAATGGCGAAAAATTTTATTCATGTAAAAACCACAACTACAAGTTTCTCCTGAAAGGCCAGTAAGACCCGCTAGATACCACCCTATGAGGCAGACGGGACCTATTCCTAACAGGCTTAGTAACCACTGCCATTACGAGTCCGACCTCAGACGAAGATTTTCCAACCTGGAACCCAGGGCCTAGCAGTCTCCATCACTGGTCGGATTTTCGAGGGACGAATCCCCCACACAATTGGATTAGGTATATTGGTACTTCATGGGATGATCCTGGTTCCTCTGAGTGAATTTGCCCCGTAGTGATCGCCTGAGATACTAAAATTCGATACCACTACTTGGTGTGACTCTTCAAGAAGCTGTCTACGATACACACTTGGTCATATGGTTATCGCTTGTCGCTATTCGCTAGTCTTGGATACTAGTGTTTGTGCCCTGCACGTCCACACCGACATATCTCGTACAATTACTTATGCTAAATAAATTAGTTTAACAGCTTAACTTTCGAAACGTATTTACATCAACAGTTTGACTTTCTTAGATCCTTTGATTATAATTATGACAGTGTTGAAAGGGGAAAAGGGATTGTTGTCCGAATACATTGTCATCATAAGATTGTCAATCCTAACACTCGCTGGACAGGAACCTCTCCTATCCTGAGGTAATCTTCGCATTACCCTAAATCTAGAACAACCCACATCCTTAACTATTTGCGGACAGTAATCTAATCTAGGTCTACCTCTACTCCTCTTAAATCCTGTTTCTGCCTCTAATATGTCTCTGACTAGATGTTCATGACTGAGAAGGCGTCCTACCAACCTATCTCGCCTATTTCTCATTGACTACCCTAGACAAAAAGTTTCAGTCTCTCTCCAGTCTCTCAGAGTTTTTCAGAATCTTTTAGCGTCTCTGAGAGCGTCTCTCACAGTCTTTCACAGTCTCTCAGTTATTGCCTAGGTGTTTTTATGGATCTCTGCATGAGAGACTGGAACGATAAAATTGACTGAATGAATAAAACTGAAAAATTGAGAGACTCTGTTTCAATAAGTGGGATCTCTGAAATATGTTGAACTTCAGAGATTCGAGTCTCTCGTTCATAGATTCGAGTCTCTCGTTCAGAGGCTGGATACGAAATGAGGATCTCTCTAGAGAGAGGCTTGATGAGAGACGGAGACTCGAGTTTCACTTTCAGAGACTCCGAGAGACTGAACATTTTTACCTCGGGTACCAAAGAGTCCTCTGTTCTCCTATCCTTTCTAATATCTCTTCATTTCTAACCTTTTCTATCCACGGTATCATTCGCATGTATCACCACATTTCGAACACTTGTAATCTTTTTTTTTCCGCCGCGCCCACCGTCCATGTTTCGTACCCATACAGCACCGCGCTCCAAACATGCATCTTTAAGAATAATTTTCGAATTTCTAAATTAACCGTTCGCGAGCATAGAAGTGGCTTCTTTTTATTAAAGGCGACTCGACCCTGCGCTATCCTCTGCTTTATATCCCTACTACTCCTTCCATCCTAACTTATCCCACTTCCTAGATACATAAAATCATTACACCTCTTCAATAATAATATTTATGCGTCATTACAGACTGACCTACCTATATTTTCATTTAAAGATTTGCACAACATCTAAACGATAAATTTCCACCAATAGGTAGGTCCGTACTGAAGTCATACCTAAAGGAACAGCACGGGGAGATAACTGGAGGTATTCAGACGGTCTAGGGGAAATTCTAGTTGGGCAGTGCGCCCCAAAAAGTTTCAAAAACATTGAAAATTTTTGCTGTTGCTTCCCCCTAGACCTGCTTTTGATAAAGTATTACGACCCGACGTAACAGAAAATTGTCCTCGTGCTAAGAATAGCAGGGAAACGTAAGCACAAAGTGTTTTCGTAATGTGGAGAGAAGTAATATCCAAAACAAATGCTCTCTATACAAACAAGTGGTTGAGCTCACTTTCCCCAACTCACTTGAAACACGCATATTTACTTCTATTGCTGCCGTATTCTACGGAAAAAGAATGAACAGAAAGAAAAGAAAAATTTCAACTCAAAAGAAGCGTGATACACAATATGCGATAGAGCGTCACTTTCTGTGTTTTCCTAACTGCGGATACCCTTGAGACATTAATGGGTGACATTAAATAGAAATAACCTAAATTGTTTATACAGGATGTTATAAGAATAAAGGCTTTCACGGCCGGAATCCACAGTAGAATGAAGATTCGGGCTATAGGGCCGTGGTATAAGTGAACTATTATGGGCCCAGTCGCTGTCGAGACTTCGAGATATAATCTACGTTCACGTTGTCAACGCAGCACCACTACTGAGGATGTCAGCCGAAACGTCTGGACATAATGGTTCACCTAGACCATGGCCCTATACCCCGAATCTTCATTCTACTACAGGATGTTATGTTAGTGTTTTCCTTGGTATTATTATTATTGCTGTTATCGGTTGGGGTGGTTAGTTCTTGATGATGCATTTTGAATTAAATAATATACAATAATAAAACTCTTGGACAAGACAATACGTGTAGAGAGAATTAAAAAATTTGTTAAACTTCATCTACTACCTCTACCCCTCTTAACTCCTGTTTCTCCCTCTAATATATCTCTTACTAGACCTTCATGCCTGTTCGCGCAAGGTCCTAGAACCTTATTATTATTATTATCATCAAAGTGTCTTCGGTAAAAGAGGTGAGGGCGGCGATACCACCCCTACCCCATTTTGGTTGAACTCTATAAATTGACTTGCTTGGTACAAAAACAAGTGTTCGAAAAACTCTCGTGAAGTCTCCTCAAATCATCTATCCTAGCTAAGTTGTGTCGTCAAATTAACTCTTCTTATTTTTCTATGTTAATTGTTAAGTGTTCCTTAAGTTTGTATATAGTTTTTTGGTTAATATACGGTTAAAAAATATTGAAAAGTTTATTAGAGAAAGTGAGCTCTTGTCAAAGTTACAAGTAGCATTTCCACGAAACAGTGCCTAAGAAGGTGTCCTACCAACCTATCTCGCCTATTCTTTATTGACTTCCATAGAGTCCTATGTTCTAAATAGCCATCAAACTATGTTCCTTTAACCATCTAATGCATGTTTACAATAACAAAATGGTGATCAATCACTATCAGCAGCATAAAGATGAAATTTCCAAGTCAAAATAAATTGAAAAGTAAATACTTCATCAACATCATCATTCAGCATTAAAAAAGTTTGGGTAATGTTTGTAAATATCTAGCGAACAATTTACAAAAAAGAAATCCATAAAGATGAGTTATCGTAGTCATAATAAAAGCGAAAAGATGCACTCGATCTTTTATCTTTGTATTTATGCCACTTTTGCAAATATTTCTTAATTGTAATTCCAAAAAATTCAACGATACGAATATGGAGATATGAATATTGAGTACATTAGAAAAATAAAAGCCTGATATTAAAATAACCAACGAAATAAAGCTGATCATTTTTTTTTCATACACTGCTGAATGGTTGAAAAATTGAATGCTGAAAAAGGTTGTTAAAGGTTTATGGTTGGAGCACGGCGTTGTACGGGTGCGAAACATGGACAGTGGGCGCGGCGGAAAAGAAAAGGTATCTAATTTAATTTCCA